ATATATATATATATGTGTGTGTGTGTGTGTGTATATATATATATTTAGACTATTAAAAAAGAGAAAAAGAATAGGGCCTTCAATAGAAGGCCTCAAAGTGAAATGTCAAAAGGATCAAGCTCCCCCTCGCTCTCTGAGTAGAACCATAAGAAGGAAAACTGAACCAGTTCCTAACATTAAGCAAGGAACCTGTTTAGTTGACAAGAAGATAGAACACCAAAAAATTAATCAGAGAGCTGGGCCTCATGCTCATCAAGTTGCTACCCCTACAATTTTCATTTTGTACGTTTATCTCTAAGAAACATTATTTGCTTTGTATGTACTTTGTTCTTTAATAAATACTCTGTAGATTATTTTCTTAGGATTTAAATTAGGTAATCAAGTCCCTCACAGATTAAGATAAAAAATTATGCTTTTATATCACAACCAAAGAAATATATTTTTTTGTGAAGCAGATGGATTTTGAAATATGAATATGGAAAGCATTTATGACTTTCTTTCTCTAAGCCATCTTCCAAGTAAAAATCAAATGTTTTTGATAAAATGTCTTACCTCAGTTTAAGTTCTTATTACACTATCTGCAGGCTCGTTGTTTTCTCAACTTGTCTTTGAGAAATATTTAATGATGACTTTTATTGCTAAGAAAAACTTTAGTGAAGAATAATGACTTTTACTTAAACCAATATTAATGTTGCCTCAAGTCTACATTGCTCACAGAAAATGCTTTTTCAGTAATATCACCCCTTGAAAGTTGCAAATAAAGCCTTGATGTTAACTTCTGAAGTTTTGAAAATCTGTAACCCAAAATGCACCATTTGCTGGGTTACTGGCCTCTCCTCCCTCCCCCAGCCCAATTAGCCAACATCAGATTGACTTTGAAATGCCAAGACCTTGAAGGAATGAAGAACAACTCAAATACAGTGTCTAAAATCCATCTTTGATTCCATTAAAAAGTTTTAAATCCTAAAAGCATTTAATTACAAAAAATTAATCCCTGTTTTTTTAAGTCTTCAACAGAAGCACTTACAACCAGTTTAAAAAGCCAAAGTAGAACATTCTCAGAAGTCTGAATACAACAAAACTGCAATGCCCAGAGCATATACAAAGCATGAAATAACCTCTGGATTCTAGGGTTGGGAGGAGCTTGAAAAACTGTTCTGCCCTACTTCATTTTAAAATTAAAAAGTTGCTCCTTATTAAGTCATTTGGTTGACATCTTCAATGCTGCTCTCTAACACTCCACATCACCTTTCAATAAGCTTCTAATACATCCTTCCAGTGGACTTCAAATTTTAGCAGGCATCAGAATCATCCATGTTTCTTGTTTAAAATGCAGGGGCGCCTGGGTGGCGCAGTCGGTTAAGCGTCCGACTTCAGCCAGGTCACGATCTCGCGGTCCGTGAGTTCGAGCCCCGCGTCGGGCTCTGGGCTGATGGCTCAGAGCCTGGAGCCTGTTTCTGATTCTGTGTCTCCCTCTCTCTCTGCCCCTCCCCCGTTCATGCTCTGTCTCTCTCTGTCCCAAAAATAAATAAACGTTGGAAAAAAAAAATTAAAAAAAAAAATAATAAAATGCATATTCCTGGACCCCATCAACAGACACTCTGATTTAGTAAGTCTGGAGGTGACAAAAGAATCTCTATTTTTAAACAAGCATCCTAAGTGACTCTGGGACAGGTAGTCCATGGACCACATTTTAACAAATGTTGCTAGATAATAACACAAATGGGCCATACACTTAATATTTCACCCATCAGTGGCAACATTTGGTCCAACAGTTTGAAAAATTCCAAAGGAAAAAGATGTACTTCGGACAGGACTGAATAAGAATCTTTTTATAATGACATATTTTTTCAAAAACACCAATAAATGGAGGTGGAGGGGGTGTGAAGATCATCGGTCGTTATGTTGTAGAACCCGAAGACATTCCCTTGGCATTTTGGAAGTGCACTGCAATGGAGTGCAAAAAAGTGGAGGAAATGGTAGGCCACACCATGCTCTTAAAAGCAAAATAAGAAAACTCGGTTTCTAAATAGGTACTAAATAATGCCATGTAGTATCATGATGTTCAAGTTTGATAATACAAATGAGAATTCCTGGGTTTAGCTGCT